ATTGTCTCAAGGCATTTCACAAAAATAGTCAATTCAATTTAATCATGCAGACAGAGTCAAGAGGCTTGTTAACTTTGGAGGAGGAACAGAGACCCACAGCTCAGGTGGAACAATATTTACAACAACTGTTTGTCAAACAACCATTGTCTATACTGTACCTGCTTGTTTTAACAGGGTCATAGGTACGGAATGACACTAACCAGTGCGCATGACTATTACTGGGCTATAGCCCAGTAATAGTCATGTACTCTACAAATCTGAATTTTATAGAAGAATGGCAAAATTGTTGAGAGAAAGCTATAAGAAGTCATGTTGCAGTTTGCCACAAGCTATGTAGACAACAGCTTACAGATCTGTGGAAGAATGTCCTCTGTCAGTTGACATCACACCTTAGCCTTTATAGCCTAGATGCAACATCCCCATGGAAAATTATGGTGTCTGGAGTTTGGGATCTTAAGGAGATAATTTAAGAATACTTTTGCAAATCATGATAATCTGCACATGCAGTGTAAATGTTTTCATAATTAATTTTGGGAAAGCTAAACTGTGAGACAAAAAAATGCTCTTAAGACCTTGCCTGTTTTGTGTGTTTAGGAGTGTGGTAATGCCCATTGCCCAGCAGTTCAGTCCAGATGTGGTCCTGGTGTCTGCAGGCTTTGATGCAGTGGAAGGTCATCAGTCTCCTTTGGGTGGCTACAATGTTTCTGCACAATGTGAGGCTTTAGTAGCAATCCCACAAACAATTTTTTCTACCCATATTTTTGAATTTATTTTCCCCAACATGACTCCTGATAAATCTGTGTTTGCAGGTTTTGGTAAGCTAACACAGCTGCTGATGGGACTGGCAGGTGGGCGGATTGTAATGGCGCTCGAGGGCGGCCATGACCTAACTGCTATCTGTGACGCATCAGAGGCCTGCGTCTCTGCCCTCCTGGGAGATCTGGTAAGAGACAGACTCAAGCCTGATTTGCATGAGAAAATGTGGAATAAGCTACATTGCTAGTACAGTGAAATTAATCACAACTAATATACTGATTAGATTTTTGTCTATCATTCAGTGTGACTCTGGGTTTCAGTGGCCTCAGGAAAAGCCATGTCCAAAAGCCTGCGCCTCCCTGGAAAGAGTCATAGACATCCAGAGTAAGAACAATCACAATATGGTTCACATTAAACACCACAGCATATAGTCTGTCTCTGTCTCTGACTGTGTCTTTGTGACTGTCTCCAGGTAAGCACTGGCCTTGTCTCCAGAGTCTGTCTCAGACCAGTAGCCCCTTGCTCCTGGCAGGGTCCCCTGTGGCCCCGGGCCAGTCTGAGAGGGACGAGGCTGAAACACTCAGCGCCATGGCCTCGCTAAGTGTTGATGTGGACCAGCCAGGCTCTGTTCCTGAAAACAGAGAATTTAACAGGTCAGTTAGGGTGTAATTGTAACCATTCTGTAGCTTTAACTAATACCTTATTGCCTTTCAGCTTTAGAAATGAGAACATCTTTTCAGAAATCATTTTGCAGCCTCTCACAGGTTTTCTTTTAAGCTTGCCCTGCATTGCTTTATTGCCTGAAGAAAGACATCCTCACAGCATAATACTGTCACCACCATTTTCCTCTTGATGCTTATTGTTAAGCATCACAAAAAATATATAAAATTAATGATGCACAACATATATAACATATATTTAAGTGATGCTTATTGTTAATTTTTGTCATAAGGAGGGGTTGAAGTGGTGAGGAGATGACGCAGAGAACCCAGGTTATGGTGAAGATGAATTTAATGATGAATGTAGTTCACATAGTCCAAATCAGGCAGCACGGCAGGAACAACTAGCACGCAGCTAAGCACCGGTAGCAACTGACAATGAAGACTAAATCAACTGGAACTGACGTCGACACAGGACTTAACCAGTACAACTGGGAAGACGGACAGACAGACGCAGACTGCAAACGTTTGACAATTGACAAGGACCCGACGAGGAACACAGACAACAGGTGGGTATAAATACACACGGGGTAATTAAGGGAATGAGACACACCTGGGGAGCAATCAACGGGGAGGACAGGACAGAGACTCACAGGGAAACAGGAACACATTGAAAAACTCAAAAACACACAGAAAACCACGGATCATGACAATTTTCTATCTTGCATAACTTCAGAGGACCTGCCAAAAACTCTTGAATGGGATTTTATGGACAGAATTATTTACACATCCTTTTGTAGTTCACCATTAACCAATGCCTGGCAGCTCCCTGTCTGGGTGCTTCCCAGATGATTAGATCTATTTTGTGAAACATCCTAAATTACATCTAAGTTACATCTACCTTTGTCTATCTGGAAAAAAAAACTACAAAGCAGAAAATTTCCCTAAGCAAGTTCATGTTATTGAAAATGTTGCATAAAAAGTAGAATTTGATGGAGAATAAAACAAAACAGTATGGGTTTATTGACCCTTGAATGTTTTCAGTTCTCATTATCTTTTTTTTTTTTTTTTCGCCACAACTGTACACTGTGGCTCCTTCACCCCATTACTAATGAATGTAAAAAGTTGGTTATAAACCCCAGATGCTATCTGTGTTGTACTATATATATAATAATTCCCTTCTCATCCTCTGCGGGTGGTCGGTCTCTCTCTCTCACTCTGTCTCTCTCTCTCTCTCTC